GTTCTTTAACTAAATAGAATACATACATAAAGAAATTTTAAAATGTTTCGAACAAAACCTTTCCTGTTGATTCAATACTGATGCTAAGATACAGCTTGTACAATGTGAATAATCGTTCATCTTTTATCTGCCTTTCGTGTACGTTGTTTCAATTATAGTTTAATCGTAACCGATATACTATATACTGAAAAGGGAGAGAGAGAGAGAGGGAAAAAAAAAACTTGATATAGAAAGAATATGTCAAAGTCAATTGGAAAGGTCAAGTTGCGGCCACGAGGTCGATGAGAATTCTACAATCCCACAGCTCTCACAGAAAGGTTACAGCACCGGATGAGAGAACTCATAAACAAGTCATCTGATCAGTAGGAGTTCAGGAGGAAGTTGAGAAGTGTGATCTTCATAAGGAATTAAATGTTCATATACCATATGTAGTACAGTTTGTCTTAGACAACTCCCCATTAGGTGTTGGAGTTGAAATTCCATTGTCTATGTGTCTGTGTTTGTATTCAAATATATGGATAAACGTTCACACAGTAAGAAAACAATAAAGGAAAGATTGGTGAATCTACTCATGGTGTTAACTTCTTTCGTGGTTGGTGCAGAATCAACGAAACGTCACTGACCAATATCGAAACCATTCCTGATGAGGCTCCTTCTACAAGAACTTGGGTGGATTCAATCAACTTTAAAAGTGAATCGAACAAGGCCTGGGTGAGCAACTGTTGGAAATGCCAGTCTTATATAGATTGATGAATCTACTCATGGTGTTAACTTCTTTCGTGGTTGGTGCAGAACCAACGAAACGTCACTGACCAATATCGAAACCATTCCTGATGAGGCTCCTTCTACAAGAACTTGGGTGGATTCAATCAACTTTAAAAGTGAATCGAACAAGGTCCTGGGTGAGCAACTGTTGGAAATGCCAGTCTTATATAGAATCACATTGATGTCGTTAACATATCACAATGCACCCCAGTGGCACAGCGGGATGTATTGGTACTTACAATGCCAGAAACCGGATTTCGATACCCGTGGTTGGCAGAGCACGGATAGCCCATTGTGTAGCTTTGTGTTTAAACTACAAACAAAACTCGAACAGGAATAGAGCTTTCTTGGATTTGAACGATAGATGGCTCTCCAGGTGAACCAATATTTACAGACTCTCTCGCACGTTTATCAAACAGGACTTTTTTTCAGAAACACACGTGTATTCAGTTTTAAAATAAGACAGTAACTAATGATGATCGGTACATATTATCATGTAGAAATTCAACCGAGGCCTCTAGAACTCATTATCTGTTGATCCAATTATTGGTGACTTCTCAAGCGAGGATTGTAACTAATCAGGCCCTCTAGCGGCGAGTTGGAGTGTAACTGCGGGTTAGTTTGTTGAATTTTGCGCAAAGCTACTCGAGAGCTATTTGCGCTTGACGTCCCTCAT